AGAACAAACCCGACATAAAAGTTTTTAGTAAAGAAAAAAGATTTCCCTACTTCGGTATTTGTGTTTGATAAAAACATCAAATTAGTATCTCATGTCCCGAAGAAAAACAAATGTGTTGTCCTGATTTCTACAATGCACAACAGCGGTGAAATTGACCCTAATACACAAAAACTCGCAATAATACTGAATTATAACGCCACGAAAGGCGACGTTCACACGTTTGACGAATTAGCCTCCTGAGGCTCAGAGTAGTATATATACAACATAAAAAATAAAAATTCATTACACCTCCATCTGTTGAATTATAGTTAAAATTTTGTAATTAGACCACAGAAGACATGTTGCTTGAATAATTAAAGCAGTAATTTTTTTGCAACTTCTCATATTTTTTGACATCAGTCTACTTGTTGCGAAAGATGGCAGAACAACGGTGGCGAAGTGGTGAGTAATCTTTAAATTTTGTGCAAATCTATAGTATTTACATTATTTTTTTGGTGTGAAACTATAATCCAAATAGTATTCTTTGTAATACAAACAATATTTGACAGATTGCGATAGTTATTTATGGTATATTTGAAATTTACTACCTACGTTGTATATTTACTACATCGGTTCTTAATTCCGTACCTACATGTTCGAAGTCCCGATGTAACACTTATACACCATTACGAGATTTCATTTATTTTTGTTACATTTATTGACTTATTTTTCAGTTTTGAAATGTTGCATACATTACCGATGCCCTCGAAGATTCGGACCTGGATATTTTATCAGACGACGATGACGGTAAACAGTCAGAAGAGTCACCTCCTGTGAGAGAGTCTAGTCTAAGTGATTCTGATTCAGGTTCTCCTTCAGAATTTGAAAGCAAATCTCGGCCTTCGTCAGAAATTTCTACGTCATCGTCATTCTGTCGAGGGTGTTCTACAACTAGAGCTAGAACACGAGGAGGTCGTTCATGACAAAAGAGGGGTGTAATAACAAGAGGAGGACGGAGTGTTAGTATTCGCAATTCTACTGCGCAATCAACGGACAATAACTGGAATGGAGATTTTTCTCCTTTGGAGCGATCATTGTTTCAACCAAGATATGTTTTAGTGGACAAGAAGTTGTGGTCGCCAGAAGACTTTTTTAAACAGTACATTGATAATGATATTTTCGAGTAGATTGTGGTTGCTACTAACCAGTCTTACTTTTCAAACACAGGTAAATAACTCTAAATTGCACTGAAAGAGGTGAATTTTTTTTATAGGAATACTGTTAGTCATGGGTGCTATTAGCTTGCCACAGATTAGATAGTATTGGTCAAAACAGAACTTCTTTGAAGATAGTATACGATGACGATGTTTCAGAAGAAGAAAAATAAAATAAAATATGGAACTTTGCACCATTGTTCGATGTTGTTCTTCGCGGTTGTAGCGTTCAGCCAAGAAAGGATAACATCAGCATAGACGAAATAATTGTACCATTTAGTGGCCATTGCGATCCAGGAAAGCCTAATCCCGTTGGTATTAAGGTATTTGTGCTTGACAACCCCTCTGAAACTATGAAATTGCATTATGGTGATTTATCAAGGGGATACGACATTTCCAGATCTGATAGCAGAATATTTTACCTAAAAATTTTTATGTAAAATTTTCTGAATTTATTTCAATATATCCATAAATGTTGTAATAAACTCGTCTAAATGTAGTTCAATTCGAGTTTTATTTCAGTAGTAATTGAATTAACCGATGTTGTTTGTAAACAACATTGAGAAAATCCCAGTTTTCCACCAAAGATTTTTTATTTTATTTTTCCAGGTATTCATAACATTATTATAGCTCACTGATCTGATTTTTATTAAATTTTTGAACTCAAAAAATTCTGGGCCTCAGGAGGTTAAGTCAGCATACTTGACATTTTGCATAAATTCATATGTAATACTCAAGGAAAACATTCGCAACAGTAAACTGAAAAGAAATAACTTTCTAAGAAGCCTAAGCCTTCAATTAGTACATCCCTACGTAAAGCGCCGCCTTGATGATGTCAAAAATTTAAAGTGATAATGCTTCATGTTTCGGGAGTAGATGAAGAAAATTGTGCTCACGTAGCGCAAGCTCGATCGACTTCAAGTTCCCGCTGCTATTTATGCACTAGAGTCAAAGATAGGAAGAGAAGAGAGAAATGTGTTAAGTGTTCCAAAAATATATGTGCACAACATAGGTTACCTATTTGTTACTAATGTATCTAGATTTTTACTACATTTTTTTCCTTAGGCATTCCAGTAATACCAAAAAAAAAACTTGTAATAATTGTTTAAAACAATGTAAATTACTTGTTTATTAAAGATTGATATTTTGTATGTAATCATTTGTTTATTTGGGGTCAACCATGACCTATTTTCATCCCAGTCCAGATCAGTGTTCATTTAACTAAATTTGGATGTTGTAGTTGTAGTGAATCCAGGCCCGGAAGTCGATAGCACCATTTCCATATGTGCAACATAACCCCTACCTATCCTTCAACCCTCCGAGTAGGCTTCGTTGACGCCATGGTCCAGGAAAAATCGTGCACCTGAAAGCACCAGCTTTTCCGGCCTCAACAGTGGATCTGGTTCACTCTGAGGAGTAGAACCTCTGGTTAACCTTAACGTCGTGACCTAATGACCGTGCGCGTTCGTCTTCCTTTGCCGTGGGTAGCAAAACCAGATGCAAGCTAAAATTATTGGGATTGGAATACGAATAAAACTTTGAACATTAACTTGATTCCTAACAACTTTTAGTGCTCTTTTTAAGTGATTTATTGCTTTGTTAATCGGAATAGCTCTATTTTACAACGCTACCACATGTCCATCTGTCTATTGTAATGTACAGCTTTGCGGGAAGGAGTAAACATTAAGACTACCTAAATGATAAATTAACAAAAATCCGACTATGTAAACATTTCTTTGCAATTGGGTTCAAATAAACATTAGAGTGAGTTATATCTCTGAGCTATATACGGGTTTCTTGCAGGTTCTTTCCAGGAGGTTTTTTTTTGTGATCCGGTAGTAAAGGAAGAAAAAGTTACTTTCAATAAGTATTTATTAAGTATTTATGATCCATATTTAATAAAAAAAGTTGCTGTTTCTGTTTCTCTATATGCACGAGTATATAGTATTCGCAACACATTGTAGCTCAGGGGTTGAGTGTTCGCCGTAAATTTCACAGTATGCGAATAACCCGGGTTCGTTCCCTGCCGGCATCAATAAAATTGGTCATTTTATGTGCTGATTCGTTCGTGCCCGGTGGTAAAGGAAAACGTTGAGAATACGTGAGGTAGGTACACTGAAAGTTTTGCGTAACTCATAAATAATACAATTAATAAGTTAACAAAATATATTTAATGTTTTTCAAAGTATTCTCCATTACATTGTAACTATCATTAATAATGTAATGTAACTAACACTCATTTGAAGCATTTTTGAAAATATAAAGACTACAAGTCTGACGGCATGATTTTCACGTGCTGTTTGAAAGCTATCACGACCTATTCTGTCTCCGTAAATCTCAAAGCTTCAATCAAATCTGTGATATTTGGGAAAATAGAAATCACACCGTGAGAGGTCCATTTCAGGACCCAAAAATGACTGCCTTGTTCGCGGTGTGCCCCGAAGCATTGTCATAATGCAATAGGGTGCGATATATCGGTCGATTCTCTCTAACTTTTTCAAAGATTCTGGACAAACAAATGGTTTTATAGATACCACACTAGCATTAATTATCTTTTGCTTATCAAGTGGGGCTGTCCAGACAGAACCAGTCTGGAAGACAAAAACGCAATCATTTTTTTACCCACGCTTCTTCCCTGCCTCAATTTTGTTAATGTGCTGTCACCTTGAATACCCATACAGAAGACTGTTGCTTTCTTTTCGGAATGTAACAATATATCCATGTTTTATTTCATCTCACAAAGTCATAAGTACACAGTATTATAACGTTCATTGTCATACATTAACAATTTTTTTTTCATCAATCAATTAGTGGACGTTTTTTTTCCGGGGAGAGTTTATGTGGATTTCCGTGGTAACAAGATATTCTAACTTAAAAAATGATGTAATTTTTTATAATTTGACTCTTATCAATATCCAAAACCCCTCGAATCTCCTTAAAGGTGGCGCGCTGGTTTTCTTCAAAAAGTCGCCTGTCGGTAGCACATACGCTCTTCCTTCACGAATTTCACCATGGAGAGAATCACGAATACAATCAAATTTAGCGTACTAACGCCTTATAGTGCTAAACTGAGATGCTTTTCCCCCAAAAGAATTTTGAAGACGAACAGTGCAATTTTACGAAGAGATTAAATTTTAAAATCTTAAAAATATTTTCGCGTTTATTCCATTTTTGCTACGGGTGACGAATCGTAACTTGTGATAAATAACAGTTAACACGAGACTTCCCCCCAAAAATTATTTTAATCAGTATTTATACGACTTTCGTGCTTTAAAAATATAACGTTCGAAATTTAAAAATTGATGAGCATCCAGGAGCGCAGAACTTTATTTCAGTCTGACCTATCGTCCTCGCTCCAAATCTCCATATGGGGACATTACGCCATCATGCGGAAATTCAGAAAATAGTTGAAAGACGTTGGCAGTGACAACGTGTTAGAGCTTTTTACATTTTTCGATAGACAGCAGGACCGCTCAAATCAATCTGCAGTCAATTGAATGCACCGTTTTTTTTTCTGCAAGTGTTTAATAATGAGCTCCCAAATTTTTTAAGCTATTGCATATCTTCTATCGCGGGCCTTGAGCGTGGGGACCGAATCCAGAAATTTATTCCGCCGTAACGAAAAAACCTCACGCTCCCCACTCCGACGGGCACGAAGGTGTGGCTTGAAGGCCGTGCATTGTCTAACGTCGTTTCTTTTTTTCGGCAGTCTTCGACACGGTGTTTGTGTATAAAGTGTTTTGAATATGAATGAACAAAGTGCATTTATTATTAATGAAGAAAGTCACGAAATAATAGTGAAAGAAAATGAGTGAGTACTCTATATACATACATTTTATTATTATCACAAATGCAGTACTAATTTTGAATTGAAAATATAATACTGCTATAAAGATAACCTAAATTTTTGATATTAAAATGAGGATATTAAAAGTAGTCTTTTATAAAAAGCGATAGTTATTCTCAATATAGATTCATATATATATTAGAGATGGGCCGAAATTCGGTACAAGAAAAATAATACCTACTTGCACTTATTTTACCTGAAATATAAGGTGCTTCTAAACTACAATATGCCATGGCTGCAACTGGTGGTTCTACTCATGATACTGTACCACTTTCCCCAAGGAACCCATAGTCAATTCTCAAAAAAAAATTGCACTTTGTATGGAAATCGGTCAGCTGATTGGCCAAGTCTCCATACAAACAACCGTGGCATATATTTTAGAAGCAACTTATATAACAACATTAGATACTGTAAAATAAAAGATATTATTTTTACTCATTCATGGTCAATTATTTATTTATTTATTTCGGAACATTGTAAATGTAAACCTTATATTAAATCAGTTCCTATCTTATCATTAATCTTAATCTTAGTTCTTAACCTTAATCTTAGTTAGTTAGTTATTAATCTTAGAAATCCCTGCCTAATTAATAATTAGCCATATTACAAAAATGAAATTAAACTTTGTATTCTCCTAGTATACATCTGGATAGGAGTCCGTAAATTAAATAAAAAAATAATGTTTTTGATTCAACATTCATTAACCTCAAGTATTTTTTATTACAATTAAAGGGTATTTGTTTTCAACAATCATATTAAACCAACTTTTCTTGTCTATCTAGTCATATTTAAAATTTACCAGAGTCAGGTTATGGTGCAAAAACACCAAAGATCTGCCTTATATGGCAGAAGTTTGTTACGTTTTTTTTCGTAGGTATATGTTTCCTGCGGTGTGCGGGCGGGGTATTTGAAGTAAATGCGTAAACAAGTCACGACGCGTCGCTCTCGAGAAAGCGTGCGAAAATGAACCGAAGTTCGGATTCGGTTCAAATCACATTCGGCCCATCTCTAATATATATATATCACAATATTGATTCTACGACCTTTCATTTCGCATTATTGTAGCGTCCACCACTTGTAAGCAATTTTAATACATTATGACTGCGAGTATTGGTCCATTAAACAATTTCAAAGATAGTGTTTAACTCATTTCTTTGAAAATTTACCATATATCGATATACAAATATTCGTATATTGCCAGACGGAGGGAAACCAATCAGGACTCCCTTCCATATTACAAATTATCCAGAATCCCCGTAATATACATAGTTTTTAATTCATTCTCCTACTTAAGGTGACACTAGTCGACATTATTTCATAGAAATTTTGGAGGGGTTTTACTCCGCTGTTTGACAGTGTACATCAACAGTACATACAAGTGACAGTTAAACATGATTTCGTTTTGTCTAATTATTAATTTTGTCTGTACGGAAACAGAATAGTAAAATAAAAAGTAATTAAAAAGTTACGAGTTATCAAAGATTCGTTTTTATTGCCAATTTTAACACAAATTGGGCGTAAATTAGTAATAAAAGCAGTGTAAAATTTCCAAGACAAAGTCGGTACCGACACAGCTCAATTATCGAAGAATTCAATAAATTTTATTTGTAATTGATTTATGCTGTGGTTTTTTCATAAAACCCCTTCTTCCAAAGGCCTTTTCGTATTTTTTTACGCGCGCGTGTTTATATGAATTATAGTGCATCTCACTGAATAATGTTTCCCCCCGGTGCGGTGCGGGAGGACGACACTTACACACACATGCATGCGCGGTGACGCGCGCTTATTCTAGTTTTATTCGACTCAGTCAGCTGCGGCCTGTGACGTTCGTATGACTATAGCTATACCTGCGCTCTAAATTACTACGCTACATTGACCCCTGCTTGAACTTTGGATTTCGATACTACTCTGTTTGGCATAGAAATTGATATTATTGAAAGAGATGATGCGTTTTGGACGGCAGGCAAAATTTTAAAATTAGATAGCTTTTATCAGAAATGTGTTTTGCCGGAGCTGATAGATCCCCGTTACCCTCGCAAACTACAATTTAGAGATCGAATGTAAATCAAATTGATATAAGCACAGACAAAAATAGCGGAATATAAATAAAATTTTGAAAAAAAAAAACGATCTCAAAATTTTATTAATGTTCCGCTAATTTTATCTGTACTTACCTATGTCAATTTGATTTACATTCGATTATAATTATATTCTCAGACGTGCAGGTTTCCTCAATATGTTTTCCTTCACCGCCGAGCACGTGGTAAATCAGCACAATTGCAATTAACAATTTCATTGGTGCCGGCGGGGATCGAACTCGGGTCTGCATGTCTGAGAAATTAAAAAATATATATTTCGAAGACATGTGAAGTTCGTCAACACGCATTGAGGCATCGTGGCGGACATTTCCTTGCCTTAAAACCCTCTCAGAAATTAGAGGAGGCCTGTGCCCAGCAGTGGGACGTATATAGGCTGTAACTTTATTTTTTTTACATTTATAAATATATTATTTTACCGACGAAAATTTTAAAGAAAAATAAAAAATAAGCAACCGACAACCTCCTAGGTCCCTAGGTGACTTGCGAGATGTCAGTGTAACAAAACAAAACGGCCCAGAAAAACAGACTTTCCAACTGATGGCACGCAACAATTTCATTGGTGCCAGTGGGGATCGAACACGGGTTGCTCCCGTACTGTGATACTTATAACGAGCGCTAACCATGTGAGCAACCACGGCTCTCAACGACATCGTTCCGTTCGTGTACAGCGCTGAAGATAGCAGAGTAAAAAATTAGAGATTGTGGTGTTTGAAATTTGTCATCTATGAGAGTGAATTTTATCTGTGTAACAAATAACTATATAGAAAAAAAATGTGAAAATGACATTTCGCCATTTTTGTTTGTGTACTGGTTAGGAACTCGATCAAAAATTTGATAATTTTTCTGTTTTTATACGTTATTTCTAAATAAATGTGAAAATGACTATTCGCCATTTTTGTTTGTGTTCTGGTTAGGAACTCGATCAAAAATTTGATAATTTCTCCGTTTTTATACGTTATTTCTTATGTTATTTTACACGTATTTTGTGAAGATATTTTCTTTTGGAAATATGTATCATTACGACGATTCAAAAACGTTTACATATAATAATTTACCTCGAAATTCACTATACGAGATTATCGTTTATTGATTATATGTTGTTTAAAAAGTATTCTTATCAGTTTTTTGTATTAAATGGAATGCTAAATATAAAATAATGCTTCAGTATTGATAGCAATTTATTAACGAAATATCTGTTGAGATGTGTCTAGAAATTATTAACTTATTTTTATTTATTAATTAAAATAATAAATAAATAAAAATAAGTATACATTTATCTATATTGAGTACTAGTTGTTCCCCGCGATCTCGCCCGCGTGGAATATGGATTTCATGGGTTTTAATTTGTTTGCGCGGAACCCTAATTCTTTTTCTAAAACAAAAGTAGTTCAAGTTATTCCTTATATCATCAGCTATCTGCCAGTGAAAGTCCCGTCAAAATAGATCCAGCTGTTTCGGAGATTAGCTGAAACAAACAGACAGACAGACAGACCGACAGACAAATAAAGTTTTAAAAATTGTGTTATTGTTACTAGTACTTTCATATGCATTTAATAAAAAGCCGTTGTTTTAACATTACAAACAGACACTTCATTTTTATTTATTTGTAGATATAGATATAAGATATTATTCATATTGGTGTCATTATAAAGGGAATATCATGTACTATTATAATAATAAAATAATTGTCTCCAGTAAATATTATACTTTTCTTGTAAAACTCGAAATAAAAAATAAATACGATTTATTTTTATATCCCCATATGCTTTATTTTCATCCTTTATTTTTTATTTGACCACTTTTCTTTTAACAAAATTAAATTCTGAATTCGTTGAGCTTTTTGAGAATATTTTTATTTGAATGTTAGGTAGGTACCGATATTAGTTTTTTAGTAGCAATCGTTTTTGTTGCGACAGTCTCGCGCGGTCGTAAAAAAAGTTACTGCGCGGACAGGTGGGACGAGAATCACTTGCGCGGCGTTGACGGTTCGGTGGATAGGTACCTACCTACTGTTATTACCTAAATACCCATAACCTACTATACAACAAAATTTGACAAACTGTCGCTGCGTCGTGGACACTAAAATGTAAACTGCCTACCTACCTGCCTAAGTACGCCGGTACTAAGGAAACAGTCTTGACGGGTCACTTGTCTTGATAAAAACATGTGTTTACATCTAGTGATATTGTGTGTATATAAAAAAAAAGTAAGAAGACAGGTAAGTATTTTTGAAAACAATTTATAGGTAGGCAGAACTAATTACAATTATTATCTAAATATTATAAATGCGAAAGTTTGGATGGATAGATGTATGTTACTCAATCACGCCAGAACAGCTGAAGGGATCTGGATGATATTTAGCTCAGAGATAGGTTATACCTAGTCTGGAATAACACATTTGATACCGTTTATTCAGGTATTTCGTTCCTGTGGGCGTTTGTGGCAACAGCTAGTACGGATATAAACTGCGATGACTGTTCCAGTTCATACTTCGGCGTCGTGAACTCTTGAGTGATCGCTGCATGACCACCCGGGGAAAACAAAACATAATAAAATAAGCAATCTATATTAGGTATCTATAGAGCCATAGAGGTATAGTATAAAGCGATAACGCAGCGCCTAACAATTTAGTACGTTTGGCCTCACCCACCAATGAGTTCGAGCCCGCGACTTGTGCCACCTACGCAATTCCTTTGTATAGTGCGACGTTGCCACTCTTATTAGTTATTCCGATTTGTAATATTTTATTTATAGGTGATATTTTGTTTATGTAGGTATTCGATAGATTCCTATAGTCTGTTTTTTTCGCAGGAGGCAAAAATAACAGATATTTATTAGATTCGTTTAGCACGAATAATACAGTTTTTATGATTCTGGTTCAGATTAGATTTAATTTTAGTCACTTAAATTTCGTATATTGTTCAAAATAATGAAATAAATCCACAGAATCTGCAGTTACGAAAAAAAGCAATATCATTTTAGTCTCCGGCGAAAAAAAAAAGATATATATCATGATTAATTTACCAACTAGTTATTCGTTTACTAAATACGAAAAAATATTTAGACGTCATTTTTCTTCCAATCTTGCTGTACTGAATATTTACGTAGTCCTTATATTAATAATTATAATTGCATAAGTTGATACAAAATGCTATGCAATAGCTTTACCGCGGCAGTCCCCGAGTGCCACACGTCTTTTTTTAAATAGGTGATCCTAATCAAGGTAAGTTGAAGATTTTTTTCTTTATTTGAGTTGACACATGAAAATTATAATCTATTTTATGTTTTGAAATAGTTTCAGAGCAGTTTTGAGTAGTGTGCCAAATTTTTCTCATACGTAGGTAAACCTGGTTGTCTCCATATGGGGACATTGGGTTTCAATGTTGATAAAAAAATATTTTTCCCATATTTTTCGACACATTACATTTTCACATATTTTTCATTACCTTTTCCGATTTTTCCGCATATTTTTATATTTATTTATATGCTTATATTACAGAAACTTCGTTAGAGAAAGCATTAATTGACGTCATCAACGGGGATGATTCTTATTTAGATATTGATGTGGGGAATGAGGATTCTGATGATCCAACATTCAATCCTGAAGCTGAAGGTAATGAACACGAAGAAGATGACAGCTCAGATGAAGATGGACTCAGTGAAGATATGGGTGAGGCTTCTACCCAAAATTATAGCCAATCTTCCCAAAATCGGTCACCAGCACTAGATTTTTTTCAAACCCGTCGCCTGTTCTGGAGAACCACAAATGTTTTTGAGCCATTGTCACCAGCACCTACTTTTGAGGAGCGGGCATAAATTTACCACCAAATGAGTATGTGGCCCAGTGACTTCTATGAGCTAATCGCTTTTCACACAAACCAAAGCCATCTAGAACCAAAGCTAAAACTGGACAGAATCTGAATACGTCAGAAAAGGAGATGGGAACATTTTTTGGTGTAACAATTATGATGTCGAAACAGTTACATCCCGGTACAGCGTCGTAGTGAAACACTACAATGAAAAAATGGGTGGTGTAGATTACTTGGATTGAATTATAAGTTACTACAGGATTTCATCCAGAACACGCAAGTGGACAATTAGACTCATCTTCCATTCTTATGATTTTGCTTTGGCAGCATCCTGGGTAGAATATAAATCGGAGCAGGAAATGCCAGGTACTAGAAAAAAAGACATGCTGTACTATCTTGGGTTTCGGAAAGCGATAGCTGACTTTCTACTGCAATATGAAAAGGAAATAGAAGATCTTCCTGCAGATGATGACACCGTGCCGGTTGCAAGCCAAAGCAAGCGAGCTCGAAATCAGCATCCATCTAATTTCGTAAGAACGAGAAAATTAGAACACTTACCTATTGTTTTGGATACTCAAAACCGCTGCAGACTGACAGGTTGTAAGTCCACTAAGGCATGATATCAATGATCAACTTGTAGTGATTTTGTGTCTGATGAGTGGAAGAAATTGCTATAACGACTATCACGAATTTTAGCTTATACAGTAAGTTTAATTATAAAAAAAATTATATTTGAAATACTGAAAAATAACCGAATTTTCGAATAAAAATAAAAATTGAAAATATATGGTGTTTTGAGTACTTTTGGAATCATTGAAACCCAATGTACCCTATTGGATACATGGTTTTTCAAGATTTTCAGAAAAATATTTATGTTCTTGATATAACAACATACATAAAATATATATTTTATAATAAAAGACGTTAAATTCCAAAAATGACACTCAAAATATACTCTGGGACTGAGGAGGCTATGTACATACTCGTACATGTCTAAGAAATAAAATATGTCGGCGACATGTAAAATTCACTAAAAACAGTTTTGCGTGGAAGTCTCTAATTAACATCGTGTAGAGGGTTTTGGAGTAATGCGGTGAACAAATTGCAATATAATCTGTACAAGGCCTGTGCCCAGCAGGCCATAATTAAGACTGTAACTTGACTTTACATCGATACCACCGCAATGCTCGTCTCCAGCGGGTCGAACCCAGTCCGAAAGGGAAGCTGTGTTTAAGAACGCGTTTGCAAATCAACCAAAATTAGGGTGTTTTTCGGTAGATTTTGTGACAAAACTAAACCAAATCAAATATAAGTAAAAACTACCATGTATAGATTGGTTCTTCATCTGCAAACGTATGTAACTCTTTTGTTGAAAATAGTAGTTTTTTATATTGTAAAAACGAACTTTCGTTGCCATTTTCTACAAAATTAACGATACCGGCTTGAGTTTCGGTACATGTTTTGGTCTATTATCAACATACTTAAAAAAATTAAAAGATACTATAAGATGACAGACATATTCAATTAAAAAACCCTGTGTTTATTTTTTATCAAAATGTCACAAATAGTCGTAGAAAAAATAAAAACTGATGCACATGTTTTCACATATTTTGCTAATATGGATGAATCATATTCATTATCTATTGCAATAAGGGCTATTTTATTGTTGGTGCCTGCTTTGATTTATTGTACAAAGATTTCGATGAAACCACAGTCCTCGCTCGGCCGCCGTCGTGAGTGGACACTGTATCGCCTGTTTGCAGCGGCTCATTCTGAAAATATCGCTGTACATACACAAAATATTAGAAAAAAAAAAAAACAAATTGGAAACATAAGTACTTGACAAGTGATAAAATTGTTATTTTTATACTCAAAGTTTTTTATTTAGCTAAAAATAAGTAAGATATATAAACTTAACTCTGGAATTGATAGAGTGACCTGAAGGTAACTACTACTGCAATTCCTGGACGAGTGGAACTAGGTGTGCCGAGTTTGGGCTCGTTTTGTTGGTTATGATGAGACCTTACCTCCGGACTTGATGGTGTGACCTGAAGGTGTACTTTCATGACCGCTATTTGAACTTCTTGCAGAGTAAAACTAGGTGTGCCGAGTTTGGGCTTATTTTGTTAGTTATGATGAGACCTTACCACCGGACTCGATTGAGTGACCTGAAGGTGTAATCAGGTGGTTACAAGTGGAACTCCTAGACTAGTCGAACTAGGTGTGACGAGTTTGGGTTCATTTTCTTAGTTATGATGCAACCTTACCACCGGACTTGATGGAGTGACCTGAAGGTGTAATTCAGTGATTACAACTGGAACTCCTGGACTAGTAGAACTAGGTGCGCCGAGTTTGGGTTGGTTTTGTTAGTTACGATGAGACCTTACCACCGGACTGATGGAGTGATCCTGAAGGTGTAATTCAGTGATTGAACTGGAACTCCTAGACTAGTGGAACTAGGTGTGCCGAGTTTGCGTTCGTTTTGTTAGTTACGATGAGACCTTACCACCGGACTTGATTGAGTGACCTGAAGGTGTAATTCAGTGTTTACAAATGGAACTCCTAGACTAGTAGAACTAGGTGTGACGAGTTTTGGTTCGTTTTGTTAGTTGCGATAAGACCTTACCACCGGACTTGATGGAGTGACCTGAAGGTGTATTTCGGTAACTACTGCTGGAATTCCTGCACGAATAGAACTGTCCGGTATAAGTAAGAAAAGTCCGGTGGTAAGGTCTCATCGTTACTAACAAAACGGACCCAAACTCGGCACACCTAGTTATACCAGTCTAGGAGTTCCAGTTGCAATCACCGATTTACACCTTCAGGTCACTCCATCAAGTCCGGAGGTATGGACTCCTCATAACTAACAAAACGAAGCCCAAATTCGGCACACCTAGTTCTACTCGTTCAGAAATTCCAGCAGTAGTTACTGAATTACCCCTTCAGGTCACTCCATCAAGTCTGGTGGTAAGGTCTCATCATAACTAACAAAACGAACCCAAAGTCGGCACACCTAGTTCTACTAGTCTAGGAGTTCCACTTGTAATCATCGAATTACACCTTCAGGTCACTTCATCAAGACTGGTGGTAAGGTCTCATCATAACCTACAAAACGAACCCAAACTCGGCACACCTAGTTCTACTAGTCTAGGATTTAGTGATGTAATCACCGAATTACACCTTCAGGTCACTCCATCAAGTCCGCAGGTAGGTAAGGTCTTATTATAACTGACAAAACCAGTTCAAAGTCCAGAGCTTTTTCTCAAGCAGTCTCTTCGCAGGTATTCGTATTTCGTATCTAAGTATATTTCTGAGGTATAAGAAATGAAAAACAAATTCAATCTTTCAAATTATCAAAATAATTTCATTTGACTACGATTCCCACAGCCAACCGTGCGTACACTTGTGTGTGTGACTTTTGTCAATGTAGTAGTGCGATTCTGTAATAATTTTGTAAACGCGTCCTTAAGCGTGTGAATCTCTGACTGCAGGCAGTATCCGAATGGCGCGATGCCAATTTTGTGAGATTCAACGCCTACAGACCACAAGCGTATTTCTCTTCACCGCAAAAAGAAGCCTATTAAATCTGGTTCCTACTTTCCGGAACATATCTCTGGAGTACACCGACCGCCTTCTGTTGTTTGTTGTTGACCGCCGAAGGCAACTTTGGGCGGTTAATTAAGTCCAGAACCGGAGCAACCGCAAAGAACCTAGGTGTCCTTGGAAGGATGGGGCGGTATTTCACGCCGGGACAGCTTATAAAGTGTTATTTTTTAAAGAGTAGCCAGTTCAAATATATAACTAATGATATACCGTTAATGCAGTTTTTGAAAATACCAGTAGGTACATAAGGCCTCTACTTTTATTTGAACTTATCCCAAATTGAATGTGATTTATGGGCAACAACGTTCTTGTCTATCGATCGACCTTTACGAATGTGTGCGTGAGCAGTAAAATCGGTTAAAATAATGCATTACCACACATGTTGAGTTTAAAAGATAAAAATGACAATGCCTGAGATTTTTTTCTAATTAATTTTTCTTCACCATATTATGCATATATTACATACTTATTCTGAACCTTCTCTGCAAATTTGATCGGTTATTGCAAAATAATCCTGTATAAAGCGTATATAAAGCGCAAGTTCGTTCGTGCATGGTGTACTTCTATCAGATATGGTTTGGTGCTAAAAATGCAACCTATCAGTTTTTTCTTAATTCCTGCCTGCTCTTTCCACCATCGGACAACCAGTCGGGCCTCAGGCCTTTTGAAGGTTTGCCTTGTATTTCGTAATGCGTACGGCAAAGGAAAGGAATAATTCGCCGGCGACCTTCCGTCCGATTATAATCTGGGTATCTTCATCTAATTAGGCTAAAACAGTGCGATTTTTCATCCAGGGCACCATCAACACATACCACTATCTGGGATTGTAATCAAGCACTGGTTTATGATAAATAAAAAGAGACTTATTTTTAGAAAGTTAGTAGCATCCACTACCGTGAACCTAAATAACATGAACTTTCACGTCACCCAGAGGGGTGGTAGGCAGAGAATACGGACTCTTCTTTGTAGACTTTATTTGCATTTTGAGATCATATCTCTTGAAGACTGTAGCTTAATTTATCTACCATCTAACAGCCATGAGATTAAGAGTGTGTTCGGAGAATGTTTGAGTACTGCGACTGGTCTTGCAGAACTTAGCTCCGACTGTATGGACAGTTTTCACGAGCTTGTCATTCATATCGTCTACTGAATTTCAGTCTTCTAAGCACTGAAAAATATTATGTAATTCGAGGTGAGTTTTCAAGCACCAGAGAGACGATCCTTGACTTCATTAGACGTGATTTCTCCAATTAGTTTGCCTTTTACCATTTGGTGATCGCTCCCAGTTTTTATCCTCGCGGTTGCCGAGAGTCTCGGTGATGTCTCGGCCCGAGACATCACTAAGATGTTCACTTTCTGTGAAGCCGCTGCTGGGAAAAAATTCATCTTAATAAGCCCCCCTCTTCTACAACTGGTCGTTCATCTATTGATCCCTTAGGTTCCGTTACCCTATTCCAAATTTCCATACCTTAAGCTGTGCCTAGTTTTGCGTAGATGTCTCCAATTAATATCGTATAGAGGGTTTTGGAGGAATGCATGGCGCAAAAGATATCCTCATGTATCTCCTCCGCCTCCTCAACGGAATGTGCCGAGGTTGGTGCTTAAACCTGTATGGTCTCCAAATACCGTTTTATGATTCTGAATATAAGTTATTAACGAGATATTTGTGAACGACGACATAAATCTGACGCCTCCTTGAAATAGATGATCGCTTCTGTGACGATAAAACAAGTAGCAGGATACGAGGATTACTATGCCTTTTATCTTTCGATTCCGGTTAATCCAATTATAATCCAGCAGAATTTTTCCATAACACCTTGGGTGTCAATCAGTTGTTCGATAAAGTGACTACACATAGAATGAAGTAGGTGGCGCTATTATAGTTTTACCCGAAAGAAAATATAATATCTATGTGTCTAATATGTTAAGAGGATTGTTACATTTATTTACTATAAAATTAAATTTTCTTATATTTTATGCCGAACTTGTAGTTTAAATTAAAATATTAAATAAATCA